CCCCCCGCCCCAAATATTTCACGTGCTCGTACGTGAGGATCATGCATAACCGAAGGCTGAATTTGAAATATTTAAGTTGTACTTGGACAGGAAATATTCCTCCAAAATTTCAGCCTTCCGGCTGTTTTGGTTCCAGAGTTAGTGATTTTCCCGCCAAAACTTTTGTACGCCCTTACGTGAGCACCATGCATATCTGGGGGCTGAATTTGAAATTTTTAGCTCATACATGCACAGGAATTATCCCTACAAAGTTTCAGCCCCTCACCTTATCTGGTTCCCAAGGTCGCTTTCCCGTCAAAAAATCTGCATATTTTTTGAGACGATGATATTAAAACGGGAGGGTCGCACATGGTATAGGCACATACTCCCAAAGTTTCAGCCTTCTAGCTTTTCGGGTCATCGAGTTGAAAGTGGGTGACAAAAAGTGCGAGCACACAGACACACACACAAGCAGCCTCTTCTCAGTGTGCATTTTTGCAATTTGCATATATGCAAAAACGTAGAAAATGCATGAAACACAAGATGACAGATAGTTCATAAGTTAAGAAGTCTTTCATAAGTTTAGTTGAATAAATTCTCAGCCGGATTTCACTTTAGAGGTTTGTTCGGCTGTTTAGAAAGCCTGACATTTAAAAGTAACCTGACAAGCAATTTTCATATTTCTTTTGCATATCCAAATTGCTAAAACATGGAGGTGAGACTGTGAAAGGAGATGAGGGGGAACAGAATGAGAAAAAGACATGATAGTAGCGGTGAAATGAAGGATGGACCGATGGAAGGAGACAGGGAAGGACTTGTGAAACGAGATACGATAGGAATACCTACACAGGGAAAGAGGACGGGTGCAGGAAATTCACTAACCTTTTGTACGCTTTGCTATTCATTTTTAATTATTGCAAAAGGATAACTGCTTTGAGGCAATCGAGAGGTGGTGGTGCACAGTTGAGGAGGGCACGAAGGGAGGAAGAGAAAAGGCGGGGTGGGGAATAGGATGCGGGGGCATGTCTCATCTCCTTTCACAGTCTCACCTCCTTCATATTTTAGTAATTTGAATATGCGAAAGAAATATGAAAATTGCTTGTCAGGTTACTTTTAAATGTCAGGCTTCTAAACAGCGAAAGGCGAAAGGGTACGATGATAGAAGGGGAATTTAAGATACATTTGGTAAGTGGTATTATTGATATTTAGAGTTTTCAGCGATAACGAAAGCTCATTTATGCCGATAAGAAGGGCAGCAGTACGAATTGCTTAACACCGCCAAAATTATGCCCTAAAAATACAGCTTGCATTTCAAACATTAAGCGATGGGGTTTGATCTTCGCCCCTTAGCTCCTCAAACACAACACCGAATTGCGTGTACAAATCAGCAGATTCAAGCCAACAAGTGACTGATCGCGCAACGCAGATTTTTAATCAGAGGAAAGCTAATCGGTGGAATGTGTTCAATTACTGCACAAAAAAGTGACAAAACTGAGTGAAACGCGCGGGCACGAAGTACTATGAAACCCTGCTCTGGAACGCACCAGGCGAGCGAGTGCGATCCGCGTCTTTGCACCAAACTTAAAGTAACTAGGTTAACTGCATGAACGATTGTTTCTCTACATCTACCTTGTGCGTTCAATACCGTAAATCATCGTAAATTTTGCGTAACAGAAAATAAGCAATTTCCGTTCAGCGATCGTTTTTATGCGTTTTTGCATACATGCAACTTGCAAAAACGCATATTGGGAAGAAAAGGTTGTGGGTGTATGTGTGTGTCTGTGTGTTTGTGTGCGTGTGTGTTTGTGCGTCTGTGTGCTCGCACTTTCTGTCACCCACTTTCAACTCGAGAACTAGAAAAGCTAGAAGGCTAAAACTTTGGGGGTATGAGTCCATACCATGCGTAACCTTGCCGTTTTGATTTCATCCCCCGCGGACGCCTGTGTACCGCGTACGAACGCTTTAAAAAAATGTGCAAATTTTTTGGCAGGAAAGCGATCTCGGGAACCACACGAGCTAAAGGACTGAAACTTTGTACTGATATTCCCTGCGCAGGTACTAGCTAAAGATTCCATATTCAGCTCCCAGGTATGCGTGGTACTCATGTAGGGGGTGTATGAAAGTTCCAGCGGAAAAATCGCTAACAAGGGAACCAGGAAAGCTGGAAGGCTGAAATTCTAGGGGATGTTGCCTGTCTAAGTGCAATTTAAAAATTTCAAATTCAACTCATCAGCCAAGTACCCACGTACACGCATGTAAAAGCTTTGGCCAGAAAATTGCTAACTCGGTATCCAGAAAAGTTAGAAAGTCGAAATTTTAGAGGGATGTTTCCTGTACAAGTATAACTTAAGTATTTGAAATTCAGCCTATGAGTGTTCTTACGCACGGCACTTAAAAGTTTTGGCAGAAAAATTTCTCACTGAACAGCTAGGTTACTTTTAATGAACGACCGTTAAATGGAAGTTTACATTTACTTTATGCAAGATTTATGGTGATTTACGCTAGTGACCGCAAAAGGTAGGTGTAAAGCGTCAACTATTCATGCAGTTAATGACCTGAATACTTCAAGTCCGGTGTAAAAAGACATGATCGCACCGGCCCGCCCGGTGCGTTCCAGCCTGAGTTTGAAGATGACCCAGCTGCTCAATGAGTAATTTTCCCACCAAAAATTTAAGTGCCCGTACACGAGAACTACGCATACCTGGAGGCTGAATTTAAAACCTTTAAGCTATATTTATATGGAAAATATTCTTTTAAAATCTCAGCTTTCCAGTTTTTTTGGTTCCCGAAGTAGCATATTTGCCGCCAAAATCCGCAGGGCCGCACGTGACTGGGAGCATACCTAAAGGAATTTTTAAGTTGCACGTGGGCTGAAAACCCCCCCTTCAAAATCTCAGCCTTCCAGCTTTCCAGGTTTCCGAGTTAGCTATTATCCACCAAAAAGTTTCACAGGGCCGTACGCGAGAACCACGTATACTCAGGAGCTGAATTTGAAATCTCTGAGCTCTGTTTGGACAGGGGACATTATCTCAAAATTTCAGCTTCTCAGCTTTTCTCGTTCGCGAGTTAACAATTTTCCCGCCAAAACTTCCACCTCTCGTACGCGGGCCAGACTTGCGTGGAGGTTGGTACAGCGGTCCTAGGGTGGCACTTGGCTGGGGGACCCAGTAGCAAAATTTTGGCGCCAATGCTTGCTTGGCTGCCGAGTTGAAATACCCGGACAGACGAACACATACACATACGCACAGACAGGGTCGTTGCAGTATGCGTTTCTGCAATTTGCATATAGGCAAAAACGCACAAAAAGGAAAAAAAGAAATCATTGGCGACGCGCACTAGGGGGCCCCTTGCGATCATGCGTTTTTGCAGTGTTTCGTGCTGTAATAAGATTACTCGAAATTCCGCTAGTTAAAAACCTCTTGTACATACTGATTTTCGAATTTCGGGAACTTGATTATCCACGCTATAGTCGGAGGGGGAACATTCCCTTGAAATCCCAGGTTCCCAGCTTTCTTAGTTCG